TCTGCCTCCCGGAGGTGGGCGGGGGCGGAGAGGTGGGCGGGGGCGGTGTGGTGGGCGGGGCGGGGAGGGGGCGGGGGCGGCCCTGCCTCCTGGAGGTGAGCGGGGGCGGGGGCAGCTCTGCCTCCCGGAGGTGGGCGGGGGCGGAGAGGTGGGCGGGGGCGGGGAGGTGGGCGGGGCGGGGAGGGGGCGGGGGCGGCCCTGCCTCCCGGAGGTGGGCGGGGGCGGGGGCAGCTCTGCCTCCCGGAGGTGGGCGGGGCGGCGGGGCGGCGGGGCGGCGGGGCGGCGGGGCGGCGGGGCGGCGGGACGCGGCGTCCTGTGGCCGCGGCCCTGACGCCGCCCTGCGCTCTTGCAGGCTCTCGGAGCCCGACCCCAGCCACACGCTGGAGGAGAGAGTGGTGCACTGGTATTTCAAACTGCTTGACAAGAACTCCAGCGGGGACATCGGCAAGAAGGAGATCAAGCCCTTCAAGAGGTTCCTTCGGAAAAAATCAAAGCCCAAAAAGTGCGTGAAGAAGTTTGTCGAGTACTGTGACGTGAACAACGACAAGTCCATCTCGGTGCCGGAGCTGATGGGCTGCCTGGGGGTGACGAAAGAAGAAGGTAAAGCCAGCGCCAGGAAGCGCCCCAGTAAGAGCCTTTCTCGTTGTTCGTGTTTGCCTCAGGCCCGCCGCCGCCGCGCCGCCTCTCACACGCGTAGCTCGTCCGTTGGTCCAGGTGACAGGAAGGCCGCCTGCGTGAGGTCATTGTCCGTAGGAGTAGCGGGAGGCCGTCCACACCCGTCCAGGGGAAGCCGGTCGGAAGCGTGTCCTGTGAGGACGAGGGTTCCGCTGCTCTGACCGCGGCGGCAGGCTTTCCAAACGCGTCCTGCGTCCCGCGTTTGGGGTGCAGATCCGGCGTTGCCGAGGGCCGCTCAGCAACCGCAGGCGCTCAGGCCGCTGCAAGCGGTTCAGTGGTTTCTGTTCTGCAAACCCGCGAGTTTGGTCGCTGAAAACGTTTTTAGCCGTGTTACCTGTCGAGTGTGTGTTTTATAGGAAGCTGGCCTCTCAAACCAGCTGTTGCAGAGAAAGAGGCTTCCCTGCGGTGGCGGGGTCCCAACACCCGCAGCGGCGCCGGTGGGACCCCCGCCTGCTGGCCGCCCGGGCCTGTGGGGCTTGGTTTCCCATGTGTGCAGTGCGCGTGCCGGGGAGGGTCACCAATTTCAGTAACACCCCTGAAGAAGAGACTAACGAGGTAGAGGCATTATGCTGGGGAAATAGGTCAGAGAAAGACAAGTATTGTATGATTTCACTCGTGTGGAATTTAAGAAACACAACTGGCGAACACGAGAACGGAAGGAAAAGTAAGATAAATACGGATACAGAGAGGGAGACAAACCCTAAGAGACTCTTAAATACAGAGAACAAACAGGGTTGATGGGGGAAGCCCGTGGGGGGACGGGTTAAAAGGGGGGTGGGCACTAAGGAGGACACTTGTGGGGACGAGCACTGGGTGTCCTATGTAAGCAGTGTATCACTGCGTTCTACCCCAGAAGCCACTGTTACACGGATATTAAGTAACTCGGATTTAAATGGAAACAAAGAAGCCCCGTTAGCGAGTGGACTTGAGTGTCAGGTCATCTGCTGGGTGTGGCCATCTTGTGTCCCCACCCGGCCCGGAACTCCAAGCCCCAGGCAGCTGGCGCACGCACGCGGGCTTCCGGAAGCAGCGGCTGCCCTCCATCTTACTGTCCCTGTGTCCTCAGCCCTTGTCACAGGGTCCCCCGGCGTCCCGCAGCTCCCAGGTTCCAGCCAGGTCTGTGTGTTTGTGACATGCTCCTTCCCCTTGAGAAGTGAATCCTGGAAAATTCGGCTTTATTTTGAGGATTCTCATGAGGGGTCTCTGAGACTGAGTGTGCTTTATCCTGGGGGCCCACGGTGGCACTAGAGGCCGGTGTCTGTCCCGGCTGCTCTGTGACACGGGTCCCCCCAAGACACTGTGCCGTCAACGGGGCTGTTCTGGGCAGTGATGAGGGTGCACCGCTGCGGGTCTGTGGGACGGCGGGTGGAGCGCGGCCTCCAGGCGAGTAGGATGGTGACCCCCGCCATGCCGGGGACAGGCCAGCAGTGGCCGTGAGTCAGCTGCACAGGAGCTCACGGGGCTCAGGATCTCCCGTGACAGTCTGCTCCCGGTCCTGTTATTCTCCCAGCTGTGCCGGCTGGCAGCGTGCAGGACACACTGTCCCCACAGTCCCCACTGTCACTGTCACCGCAGCTGGAGCCGGAGTCGGGGGTCTTCCCTGGGCTACGCAGCCCGCACCGGCCTCTGCTGCATCCTCCCCACACAGCTGCCCCAGCACCGAGAGTTAGACCCTCATGGCTGCCTCCGGCCAGGCCTTGCTTTCCATCAGGCCCCTTAACCCACCGCAGGCTGGCCCGCAACCCCCGGACGGCATTGGTGTGAACACCAAAAATGCTGCCCTGGGCCTTTACACCAGCCACACCCCACTCTGTGTTCCTTTGCGACCTCAGGGTCATTTCTGGCGCTTCTCCGCTGCTGCTTGTGACTTCTTGGACCAGGACAGCCACCTTCACCGTGTCCCTCACCTATTCGTCGACTTTGGTCCCCACCTAGGGTCCCAGGAAACTAGGGACCTCATGTGGTTTTAGACAGAAATCTCAGCAGCCTGGGCCACTCAGAGGCCTTCAAGGGTCGACGCGGGAGCCGGGGGCAGCAGGGGCCGCCAGACCCGCGTCTGCAGCACCAGGGCGCTGTCAGCCTCCACTCGGCGGCGCTGGCGCTCCCCCATCCGCCCCGTGGCCTGTCTCTACTGCCACCGGATGGGCACGGCGTCACCCTCTGCACACATGAGTCAGGTGTGGGATCAGCAGCGCATGGCACCTGCTCTTTCTCATCTCCTCCCTGTCACCCGGTTCCAGACAGCACAGATCGGTCCTCTGTTCACAGGGACCCTGCCCCTGGGCATTTGCCTGGTGGTTTGATGAGTGCCCCAAACCTGGAGCTGCGCATCGCATGGTGGGACGTCCCTCGTGGGTGCACAGCGCTGTCCACAGATCCCTAGAGTCGCAGCAGTGGGGGATGAGCGGCAGCGAGTGTGCCTCGGCCCTGGATGGAGCTGGGTTCCCCTCTGAAGGCTGCGAGGTGGGCCTGGAGCCATCAGGAAGTGATTCTCTCAGCTCTGCCTTCCTGCAGGGGGCTGGCTCTCTCCCTATCCCGCACAGCCCAGGGCACAGTGTGGACCCACCTTCTGTGCAGGATCGTGTGTGGTCATTACCAGGGCAGTGGGGCACCATGTGATCCATGCAGGCCCCGCGGGCACCGGGAACCTCTGCGCTCTTCACCTGGATCCCGAGGCCTCGGGACCTCCAGCGCCCAGGAGGTGAGCCCACGTCCCCTACACCCGCCGCGGGGCTGTGACCCCACGGGTGACGTCCTCGGTCCCGTTCTGGAGCTGCTCTGCTCTCCAGACGACATCAATCATTTGTCCGTTCATTTACCCAGCAAATCTCCGAGTGTCTGGTATGAACTAAGGGGTGGACAGAGGAGCTGAGCCTCAGAGGTTTCCGCTTACAGGAGAGAAGCAAAAGCTCGCCGCCGGGTGAGCCACGGGGACGGCAGTTTGTGCGAAGCGTGGCGGGTGGACCGTGGACACTGCCCGGGCTCCGGCTGAGGAGGTGGCAGGCGCTCGGTGGGAGTGAGGTGTGAGCACAGCCATCAGGACATTGGGGTGGAGGCCTGGAGAGCGTCGTGGCAGCCCCGGGGACACTGTTGTGCCTCAGGACTCTCAGCATCCGAGGGTGCAGGGCCTTAACCCGGCCCTGGCCAAGAGAGTGGTGGCCTGGCGGCAGGGGGCTGGCTGACGACCAGAGGACACTGTCATCTGGGCAAACCCGTGACCCTAAGACACGGAACACCTACCGGTATCTTTTGTTTCCTTCATCTTCACTCACTCCTTAAGAATGCATGTTTTATCCTAACGAACATCAGAAATTAAATAAAAAACAGCGTGTGACTTTTTTCCTCAAACATGATGAGACCCGTGCCTTCCCGTGTACGTCTGTTCGCGATCACGCACACGCGTGTGCCTGCCGCGATGCGTCACCACAGGATGGGGGCCTAACACGTGTGCTCCCTGATCAGTTATTTTAGGAACTTACACAACCTTGTGGATTTACATTATTTCAACTAAAACGTATTATCGTAAACTTTGATCTACATTTTCACTATTGCCAGAAAATAGAAAGGAAAAAAAAATTAACTGAAACTCTTGATAAATGATAAAACCAAGAAAGGAAATATTTCTGAAGGTTTCAGGAAAAATATTCACCAAACATTACCTCATTCCCTCATGATTCTCCAAAATGACCATTGCACAGAAGCTCAGCAAGTAAGAAATATTCATTTTTGACCAAATTAGCTCTTTCTACCAAATTGCCATGCTAACCGCGGCCCTTCCAGGCGCACTGCCCGACCACAGACCACAGTTCGCCAGGTCACCTGGAGCGCTTGATACCAGTGACCTGAGTGCTCCCGGCGGCTCCGGGCGCCGTGCCCGCTGGGTGCCTGCGCAGCAGTCCCCTCTGTTGTCGTCTCCTGGATTCAGTGATGCGGGGCTGCTCTGCTCCCTGGGAACAGCGCTGTCGTGGGTGGGGGAGGGAGGGAGGAGCCAGCGGGAGGAAGGTGGAGGCAGGTGCCCCAGGAGCTGGACCCGGGAGGATGCGGGACCTGACCTTGGGGCTGAGCCTCCCGCCTGCTCTCCCAGTTCGGGCCACGTGGCGGGGCCACAGGACAAACACCGTGCGTCTTGCACGTGTCTCCCTCCACCTTCCATTTCCCTCGAGGACTTGGAAAAATTGTTGAGCTAAACATGCTAGTTTTTTTTTACTATTTAAACATAAAGCCAAAAGGTGTGGGGGAACGGTGTTACGTACTGCCTGGGGCCCTTCCCTGGGAGACTTTAAGAAATGGGGAAGAAAGGTCTGTGGTTAGTAGACGTTGCTTCGGAAGTTGTGGTAAAATGAAACCTTCTTCTCCAGGTGGACTGGGGCATCTGTGTTGTCAGAAAACGTGCACGTGGTCACTTTTCTGTGCCGCTGCTTCTAATCTGGGCGTCTCCCCCAGACGTATTTTTCTCAAGTAAAAATGTGCTCCTTGATGACACTTTCCTAAAGTGATGCTGATCCTTCCTGAAAAATTATATTGAAACTTTCCCTGAATGAAAAGTATTTGGTTTTTAATAGTGTTTTTTTGTTTGTTTGTTTCCCTATAGCCCCTAGAGTTAATGCTGAAAGCACTTCTAATAGACAGGTAAGTGTTGTTATCTATATTTTAACGTTCATAAGTTGTCTGTTTAATTATGGCCAATAAAAAAATCAGGGTTCTGGAGATTTGGAAAGTAAAATACCTTCCCCAAACAGGAGAGGCCACATACCACACACACAGCTCAGTGAAACCAAAAGAACCTTGCAAAATTCCGTCAGAATCATCGACTTGTTAAATCATCAACTTAAAGATTTGTGTTAATTTTTTTACTATCTCAAATTTCATTTTGTTATTTTTAGGGAAAAAAATGGAGTCCTGTTGTTTTGTGGAAAGTTGTTTTTAATAATTGTCCGTGGATTTGCAATTTATTTCTTAACAAGTCATTAAGGAGGCCACGGGGCCAGGAGACCCTCTGCGCCTTCAGGGGAAAGTTCTCTTTTCACCCATGTATCTTAATAAGACAACTCTTCTGCTCCAGAAGGGATTTTCAGTGTCCCACCGTGTGCATTTAGAAACTTGTTTCTGTGTCTGAATCCTATTCTTCGCACATGCAGTTAAAGGAGATAGTTGTGCGACTCTCCAGCATCCCCTGCCACACCCATCCAAAGTTAGAATACTCTCCAGAGGGCAAACAAACATGAGTGGGTGCGTTCCTCCCTTCCTCAAGGTCAAGGCAAAAACCCTCCCTCCTTAGGACCACTGGCCGATTTATAAAGTTACCTGTCTGATGGCAGTGGACATTTCCCAGGGCAAGCCCTGCATTTTTTGTGGGATTTTAATGGAGTTGGCGAACGCCCAGCTTGGGTGTGATTGAAAACCATTTCGTTTGGGAAGACGTGGTACGATTTCCTTTGTTTAGTAAATGTCTATGGTCTTAACTTTGTAAATCCCACCACAAGTTGCTCCCACGTTAGAGCAGGGCCGGTCTGGAAGCTGTTACCGCAGCCAAGACAACACCGCAGGGGGCTGTCATTACCCGAGGTGATAATTGCCACGCAGGGGGTTGTCATTACCCGAGGTGACAGCCCTCCGCTGCCAGTACACTTGCTTCAAGACACAAGCCCCCCTCTTTAGCCGTTTCCCAGAAAAAGATGCCAGAGCACTCTCTCCAGCTCCCCCTCTGGCGTCAGGACGGATGTGTGGACTTCCACGCCCGTGCACAGCGGCCGTCACTGTGGAGCCTGGGGTCAGGTCCCCGTGTGAACCCGCTGGGGCCCCACTTGAGGGAATGACTGAGGTCCGGAGAGGTTTCTGAGAGGAATAAAACACTTCTGAGCACCCAGATCTTTCACTGTGTGAATAACCACAGACAAGGGACGTTCAACAGAGGGAGCCAGGGGCCCAGCACTTAGTCAGAGAGCGAGCGGTCTTTCCTGATTAATTCTCGCTTCCTGGCAGGATTCAGACACCATCCGAGCAGGCCCCCCGCCAACGTGCCCCCATGGGCGGTCTCGTCTACGCCAACACTTCTGACGCGTTTCCGCAACTGTGAAAATACGCTGGCGGCTTATCTTTACCCCCAACTAATTAAAACAAAGCTCCCCGTTAGCTCAGAGCAGGAGATAGGCTCTTCCGTGTTCTGACCACCTAATAGCGTGTTTATCCGCAGAGGAAAGCCAGCCCCGAAGCCTCCAAAATGTTTACGTTTGATTGTTTTAAATAATCAGACAGAAGCGTGGGTCAATTCATATCAGCAGGCATTGATCCACGTGGAGAAACAAATCTCGAAGATTGTATGTCGCTTTTCCTTTCTGTCCCAAATGACTTAACTGGCAGTCGGGGTGCAGAATGGCAGTTTAGGAAACAAAGTTTTCAAGTTGAATTTCTTCTCGAGAGATGAACTACATGGAAAGGATGAAAAGAAAATTTCAAAAATCAATGTTGCCTTTATCAAATCTGAAGCATGCATTAGATTGTTAAAATTATTGGAGCACCTGAGGGGCTCAGTAGGTTAAGCATCTGACTTCATCTCAGGTCATGATCTCACAGTTCATGGGTTTGAGCCCCGCGTCAGGCTCTGAGCTGTCAGCACAGAGCCTGGAGCCTGTTTCAGATACTGTGTCTCCCTCTCTCTGCCCCTCCCCCACTCACATTCTGTCTCTCAAAAAAATAAAACAGACATTAAATAAAAAATTAAAAAGTTATATAGTAAATCAAGATGACAGGAGACTGCACAGCACATTTAATATATTGAATCTACTTAAAATACTTGAAGCAAATGCTAATTTTCCAGCCAGTATGTTTTTCCTGATACTGCGCTCACTGAAAGGGGCAGAAGGGTTGGAAGTTAACGTTTTATTTAACCTTATGCCCAAAGTGATCAAACTAGCCCTCTGATTGGTGCCTCTATTTAAAAATACAGTATCATCCAACACAAATATAAAGACCTATTATTAATAAATAACGATCAGTTCTAAGAAGAAAACTAAACTAAACTAAAAATTAATATAGCGACTGACCGCTAGAAAAGAAATACTGGTTTTTCCCTGTTGCCAATGGGTAGGCTGACGCCATGGGTAGAAGGCAAGCTTTACTCCCCACAGATGAGGGATGGAAACTTCCTAATAATGTCTCCATTTCTGTCTTTTTTTTCCAGCCAAGGAAGCAAGGGTAGCAGCTCTCACACCCCAGGCGGTCCCTGGACACGTGGGAGACTCCCTCACCAAGACGCAGTTAAAACAAAAACAAAAACACATAGTATTTGCACTTTGTACTTTAAATGTAAATTCACTCTGTAGAAATGAGATATTTAAACAGACTGCTTTGATCTGTGAATGGAAGGGCAGGCTTCAGAAAACTAATCACATACAATGTATGTGCCCTCTTCGACCTTGGAAATCTGTACCTGGTAGAGATGTATTGTGAGTGGCTTTAAGCTTAAGTTCTTTATCCTGCACATGCTGACGTAGCAGAGCTGTTAGCTGGGCCCTGACCCCCTGCCTTTCTCCCCGCCAGGGGCCGCCGCCCACCACCTAGGCCCGGCTGGCTTCCTCTGGGTCCCCTGCATCCACGGCATTCTCGAATCCACGTCGGAAGCTTCGAGGAAGTCGCTGTCCTCTGCGGCCCTCCCCTGCCGCTAACGAGTGCGTGGGCTTGTGTGTCCTGGGGTTCATGTGGGTCTGTTGTGCTCCAGAGGCCTCGTTCTCCCAGTGGGTCCCGTGGCTGCCCGGCCACCCACTAGGTCCGGGTGGCGCCCGCAGGAAAGGCCACTTCCAGCCTGTCTTTGATGTGCCGCTTTTCCCTCTCGAGCCTCACTGTGAGCGCTGCCTGGGGCTCAGATTAACCACGCAGGAAGGCGCAAGAGCATCGCTCCTGCCGTCCAGAGGCAGCGAGGAGAGGCCCAGTGTTCAGAGGAGCGGGTCTGGTCCCAGCGCGCCCACTGGTGGGTCCACCCTGCTTCTGCCCTGGCACGTGGCCGCTGCTCACCGAGCGCTGGTCCACTCCGGGTCCTCCTGGGAGGTGAGACGGTCCCCTGAACAAACTGGGGGCATCCTCCTCAGAGATGGCACAGCCGCCGTTTACTGCACCTGGACGCTGGTCTTGGCAGGTCCCTGCTTCTGCCGCGCTGTGTTCTGATGCCTCAAGGGCAGCAGGATGTGCCTGTAGGAGGTCCCCCCAAGTGGCACTTGGGAGAGCAGGTCAGGAGCTGAACACCCACACGGTGGGCACGGAGCTGGGCCCCCACCCCGGCGCGCGTCCGCTGGCCTGACCAGCTGTCTGGAGGAGGGTCCGAGAGCTGCGGGCACCAACTTGCGATGCTGTTTCAGCTCCAGCTTCTGGTTGGAAAACTAATCTTCGCGGCCCCAAATCCCCCAACGCACGTCATGTAAACTGATCTCTGTGCATGCAGTTATTTTATGAGGCTTCTTACTTATTTAAACTGTACGAAAGTAAAACCCAAAACTTTGGAGCCACAAAACCAGCTTCGGTGTCTGTCACGCTGTTTAAGAAATGGTTATGATCCTAGATTTATTGGATAATCTTTTATATTTCTAAACTTTGGATTTAATCACTTTTCTTAGATTCAAATAAAATAGTCTTTCAAAACTCTGCTCATGGTGTTTTCTTTCCAGCAAAACACAGCCTTTAGAATTGCTTAGTCCCAGCACTGCCTGCTTCAAGGGACATAGACAACAGTTCTTGGCCCAAGTGAATGATCCTGGCCCGGTCCCTGCAGCTGTGTGACTCCAGACATGTTACTCAAACTTTCTGTGCTTCAGTCTCCTGCTCCGTAAAACAGGGCTGGTGGCCATACGCACCTCCGGGTGAGGATCACGTGAAGTGCTCAGGGCCTGGTAGAAAGGATGTGGTGTTTGACCCTGTCGTGGGAATCAGTCATTTGCAGTCAGTACTGACTGAGCTCTGTGGAGCGCCCCACACTCCACCAGACGCCAGGCCAGACGACGGAAGGAACAGAGAAGGGTCTTATTCTGATTGAAGCGATCACTCTTCACTAAGTCCCACACTCCCCACCAAGTCCCCGTGTTCCGTCCTGGGCCGGGCCCTGCATTTCACCCTGAGCACCTGGGCCGGGCCCTGCATTTCACCCTGACCACCCTGACCACTGCAGAAGCTTCCGAGGCAATCCTGCTGCTTCCACAGTCCTCCCTTCTGGCAAATCCCCTCTTGCGCATTTTTTCCTCTTCTCAGAAAAGAGCGATCTTTGTAAAACTCAATCTTAGCAAGTCAATTGTGCAGAAATGGAGCTAGGAGAACACAGTCACAAGGAAATGCTCGTAGATGGGGTGGGGCCTGGAAGGGGTTCCGGAGCAGGGAGGGGAGGATGAGGCATTCAGGGGGCTGTAAGAGCTCAAGTAAAGGCAGGCAAGCAGGAGAGTCAAGGTGGGTCCGGAAGGTAGTGAGCCAGCATGCGTGGGCTGCGGCAGATGGTTCTCATCGCAAAGTATTAAGATTTCAAATCTAAAACAGAGGTCTCTGCCTTACATACCTGGTGCAGCTGTTTTTAGTGATAGACGCCTCCCTCCCCAACCCTGCTCATGTTTAAAAAGGGTCTCCTGCATCTTTGTCAAAAACTTCCAAGTTAGAGATTTTTTGGAAGTGAACTGACTGACTCACAAATCATGCCCATGAATCTCACACCTGGAATTTTTTAAGTTATCCAGGTGAAAGCTTTCTTTGAATCAATGTGCAGAAATGACTGATATAATCATACACCGACAAGGGTACAGAGACCTCATGCCAACATCTGAGCTGCCCCAGAGAGTAAGAATGCACGCAGCTCTAAGGTCAGGGCCTTATGGTGATGATAGCGACAGTGGTGATGGTGGTGGTGGTGATGGTGATGGTGGTGGTGACGGTGGCAATGGTGGTGATGGTGGTGGTGGTGGTGGCGGTGGCGATGGTGATGGTGGGGACAATGGTGATGATAATGGTGATGGTGGTGGTGCCGATGGTGATGGTGGTGATGGTCATGGTGCTGCTGATGGTGGTGCGGTGGTGGTGATGATTTTCTTCTAAAAGTCATAGACAAAATTGTAAACATAGACCAAAATTATAAAACGCATTTTTGGCTAATTAGATATTTAGCCATTTTTGGTATTTCTGCACTTAAAAAGTTACGTGAGCCATCTTTTACTAAAGTCTGTGAACAAGCTACCCCACAACTCCGTGGCTTAAAGCAGCCCTTATATGTCCTCGTTCATGATTTTTGCTCAGGCCAGGGCGGGGCAGTCTAGCCTGGGCTGAGCTTGACCTGCTGCCTTGCCTCACACCGGGTGCGTGTCTGCTCCGGTCCCTCACCCTGTGTGGACCAGTGGGCCATCAGGGGTGTGTTCCTACATGCCCAACCGCACACATGCATTCAAGCCTTCGTTTGTGACCTGTCTGCTCATGTCTAATGGCCAGAGCCCGTTGCATGGCTCAGAGCAAGCCACAGGGCAGAGAAAGGCCTGCCAGCCAGCAGGAGGTCATGGCTGTGTGTGGATGTGGGGCCAGAGGGAGGTCACGGCCGTGTGTGGATGTGGGGCCAGAGGGAGGTCACGGCTGCTGTGGACGTGGGCCCTCCTAGGGAAGGGAAGACGCGGCACCTGGTCTGCACTCCAGCACACAGCGTGCCCTGAACCTCCTGCTGGCAGCGCTCAGTGTTCAGATGTGCAGCTGACTGCATGTGTAGGGGATGCACGTCAGCGCGTCAGCCTCAGACGTAGCGAGAGCTCAGACCATGTGGTAAAACCACACGGAGCTGGAGGTTTCACCATTCAGTTGAGTGTGACCTGTTGGGTATAAAGCAGGCATTCAGTTGATGGCGTTGTGAACCCAGACTTATGCATCAGGACTGTTCGTATCAAGTGGTTGGTTCCGAATGTCCCCCTTAAAGAAGTGTCAAGGACAGGGCGACTTGAATCTGAAGCCCCGAACAACACACAACTGGGTAAAAATGGCAGGTCGTTCCTACGGAAGGGAACTCCATAAAGGTGGAAATACGGGAATTGTGTTGTTGGGAGTTGACTTCATTGATAAGAAATGGAGAATAGAAAGCCAGGTCAGGGTGGGTAAGAGCCATTTTCCCCACTGTCTCAAGCAGGCAGACAGCAGACAGGCCAGGCTGATGCAGCCAGACCCCTGGGGGTCTTCGAGCGAGGCTTTCCCGGAGGGCCCCTGTGTCCTCGTGCGGGCCACAGGCCACAGCGCAGGGCACAGGGTGCGGGCAGAAGGCCGTGCCTGCTGAGTGTGGCACATCTGATGCCCTGCGGCTCCCCGGAGCCCGTGCAGTGGGCTTCCTGCCCGTGACATCTCTCCCTGGTGTCCCAAGCTTCAGATTTTAACTGCACAATTGCCACCAGGGACAGACAAGAGCTGGGTCGGGACGGCTGTGGGGAAGGCGGTTCACTCTCTGACTCTTCCCAGTACCCTTGTAACGATTTTTATTCCATCTTCTATACTTTATGTGAAACAAATACCTTCTTTCGTGCCCCTTTTCTCTGGACGTCTGGAGGTTAAGTACTGATAAAGTTGACAACTTAATTCACGTGTGCTTCCCACCAGAGAGGTTTTATACATCTTATTAATTTTTTTACTTTAGAATACTTTGTTTCCTTAAAGTTGAAATTATGCTGACTCAATTTATTGTTTCTTTGTTGAAAAAGATGGAATTTTTATATTCCCTAACAACCTGTGCTTATATTGCCTTTCCAATTAACTGTGGCTACGGTAGTTAAGAGTCGTGCTTCGTTATTGCTTCTAAAGAACTTGTAAGTGTGCCTTAGGGTGAGACTGGATGTTTTAGTTTAAACGCACATCTTCGTGGCTCTCTGAGTATTAGAATCGAAGAACTAAGTTTTATTACTTAAAATATGGCCAGCCTGTTACTTGTTCCTCAAAGAAAACGGCCTAATCGGGTTAGTAATTTTATTAACTGGTCCCTCTTATAATAAAAGAAACATATCTCTACAAGTAACATAAAATAAACAGTTTCAGTGTGTTTTAAGATGGGCTTGGGACTAGGTTTCGTAGCCCATTTATTTTTAACGTCGAAAGAAAGCCTCTGGGGACCCAGAGGACACGCAGGCACGAGCGCTGGGGAACGTACAGAACTGGGGTCTCCGCGTTGTGCGCCTGGAGCTAACATCACGCTGCGTGTTCATTACACTTGAACAAAAATGTCACAAAGAAACGGCATTTCTGCCCTGCCAGTCCCGCAGTAACCGGGGCCGGGCCGCCGTGAGCCGGGGTGGC